TTATTTGTAGGGTGTTCGAAACGAGACCAGGAAGAGCGTAATGACGTGTACCAAGTGTCCAATCTTCGCATTCAAATTACCACTGGAATCGGTTATAAAAAGAGGAGATACTAAGAACTGGGAGAATGATCACAGCCATAAAGATCATTTAATATACTCGAAGTTGAACTAAATTCTAACATGACGTATGATGAGCATATAGAGATTTATTCACGGGAGAGTACAGTATGGGAGGTTGTGTGTGTGCGTGTAGGATTGCTGGAGTTCAAGATATGTAAAGGGGGAAAGGTACTAAAAGACTGATCTCTGTGAGAATAACAGTGTAGCCCAGAGCAGATGACTGGACTTACTGAAAACGCCTTACACATGGGGTGATGTTAATATGAATGCTATTAAATATTTATATCAGGTAAAGACAGGTTTGAGGTCTAGAGAGGTACCTTCTGTCGTTCCTGTGACAGCTCACCATGATTCAAAATACGGATATAAAATCTAAAAATGTCTACCGTAAACACATAAACTTTAATAGCAGCTAAATTTAGGGAATTCAACTTCCTGAGAAAGAAAAATAGTGTCCAAAATATATTTATGTTGATATATCATTTATCTTCTTGTACAGCTGAAGGCTTTATGGACATTCTCCTGCTCATAAACATTCATATAGACAACAAGAAGAAATTTATTTTCCACGTAATAACGTAGTGAGGATACAATATATGATTGAGAATCCGGACAGAGTCAATAGTAGAAAACCTTGAAAAATTGCTATTATTATTATTAATGATAACTCTCGAGATGATCATTCTTAGCAGTGGAAAGCTGGGAGTATCTATCAGGTGCCGTCCACAACCAATCACTCCTCGTTTACTACGACCATTTTTTGGCGTGGTACTCAAGGTCAATTGCCTGATGCATCCCATATTTATGAATTGAGTTTTCTGTAATTTTAAATTAGGTTAACTCAATAAAGGTTAGACTGAGTTAGGTTCGGTGAATTCAGGTCAACCTAGGCTGGACTGAGGGAGAGTACAGTGGCCCGTAGCCTGGTGGTATAAACTCTCCCTCCATACGCTAAGTGTCCGGGTTTGATTCCCGGGAAGGTTGAAACATTGGGCGTGTTTCCTTACACCGGTTGTCTATAATCACCCATCAGTAAAAAATGGGTACCTGGGTGTTAACTGACTGGTGTGGGTCACATCCTAGGACAAAAGTGACTTAATTTGCCCGAAATGCTCTGCATAACAAGCGGCTTTCTATATAGCAGTATGTCATTGATGTTAGCTAGGACTGTATACCTTGTACATGTACTTGTAGAAATAAAGATATTATTATTATTATTATTAGAGAGAGAAAGAGAGAGAGAGAGAGAGAGAGAGAGAGAGAGAGAGAGAGAGAGAGAGAGAGAGAGAGACAGACAGACAGACAGACAGACAGACAGAAAGAGAGAGAAAAATAGAGAAAGAGAGAAAGAGGTGAAGAATCTACAGGCACAATTGAAAACTGGCCGCCCCTCTGCTCTAAGCTCGAGCCTCTAACTGGAATGCTCTTTTTCAAGGTGGTGTTGGCAACCAATTGAGTGTGTTCACCGAACATATCCCTAACTGGCAGTATGCGATGAAATCTACAGATCCGCCTTGGTTCGGTTTTCGCTATTGAGAGGCTGCTACTACTAAGTACAAAGGTTGGAGAAGGTATAGGAGGCATCCCATTATCTATAACAGGATCCTGAATAGGCAAGACTATTGGCAAATGGAAAATGTCCAAAAGTGGGCCATCTCTAGATGGGGGGACTGACACAAAAAGAAAACTTGCATCAGCTAGAGTGGGCTCCAAAACCTTATGATCCGTAGTCAAAGACCGATAAAGTTATCCACCTGATGAAATTATTCAACCTCTAAATCAGCAGGATGGAACCGTCTCTACTAGCAATTAGGAGAAAGCTGACTTCTTTGCGAGCACTTTGCTGCCAAGATGAAAGTTTCTGATCCAGCAAGGGAACTTTCTTTTGCTAGCCTCAATAACTGTGTCAAAGTTGTCGGAAATGACAATAAGGAAGAATGAAGTGCATCTTCTTAAACTGCTGGACCAAGAAAAGGCTGAGGGGTCCTGGTAAGATGAGCGCAAGATTGATGAATAGATGTGCAGACCAACTAGCTTCACCTCTAACCTGCATCTTTCAACAATATCTAACAGTGTAAATGACCTCCATTGTGGAAGAGACAATGTAGTTCCTGTTAACAAAAAAGAAGAGCAGTGCGGATATCATCATCGACAAACCAGTGTCACTCCTGTCAATCACTGGCAAGATTCTTTAGATAATAATCTCACGGCAGTTGACAGCGTTTTTCGACTATCACTTGCTTCTTTGTGTCCGTCAGTATGGCTTCAGAAAAAGGACATTTTGCTGCCGATCTGCTGATAAACCTCTCCTTAATAGGACCAGTCACTGGATGAATTCAAGGTCAATATATAGTAGCATGGATATTGCTGGTACTTTCAATTGAGTATGGCACCAGGGACTCTTGACAAGACTGCAAGTACTAGCAGTCGCCGGCTCTGCACTGTACCTCCTCAGTGATTACCCTAAAGGTAGATCTCTAAGCTTAGTTCTCAACTGGACAGAGTCAACAAAACAATTTATTGCTGCAAGTATTCCACCGGTAAGTGTACTTGAGCCATTGTTATGGAATGTCTAATTCAACAATCTACATCTCATTTCAGAATCACATTCATATGCAAAAGATTGTACTCTGACATTTATTAATCCAAATGAGGAAATGCCATCTCCTCTCAGCTGCATCACTCACCAGTTTACAGCTATATCAGCCTGGGTAAAACGATGGCAGGTCACATTTGCTCCTGAGAAAACACAAATAATGATAGTCACAAGGCACCATGATGGTAATGCTGGAGCAGTACTAGGAATGAAATGGGAGAGTGTTGGTATCCGAGGAAGAAGCTGATATCTGTGGGATAAAGTTTGACTCCTAACTGATTATGAAGAACCACACCGTAATTCTTGCATATAAAGCGGCCAGAAAGCTTCCAGAACTCGCATCTGCTTGGCAGCAAAGGTTGCAAGATTCTCTATGAGGCACAAGTACGCTCACACGACTATGCTTCACTTTCTTGGACTGTCTGCCCCCGTCTCATCTGCGACTTTTCTAAAGATTAGAGAAGAGAGCATGACGACTCATCTCTCGCCTGAACCCGGCCTAGAAAATCTGTCATTTCAATAGGGCCTTCAAAATCATTACTGTCAAGGTGCCACACTTGGCTCCACTCCGAGGACAGTGACAAATGAACTTCATAATAAGACGGGCAGCAAACAGCAGCTACACTCTGGCTGTACCCTTCTCACTTCATCTAAGATCATTTATTCCTTGGATGACTCCATTATGGAACATGTTCCTACAGCAGAATGGCATCAACGAAATAAAATCAGCTGACCAAATGAAATCACTGGCCAACAGTTGGCTCAGACTCCATCCTGCTCCCTATTTATATGTCTTTTAACAATAAAAAGATTTTAAAATGAGCTGATATATGTAACAGGTAGGAACCCTTAACCTAATCTTCTAAAACCTAGAGAAAGAGAGAGAGAGAGAGAGAGAGAGAGAGAGAGAGAGAGAGAGAGAGAGAGAGAGAGAGAGACTAGTACCCACTACATGCACTAGGTCTCATTACGTGCCCCAGGACTCGTTACGTGAAATAGAACCTATGATGTACACAAAGACTCACAATGTGTACCAGGACTCACAGTTGTACCAGACACCATATTCACCAGAGCTTCCCACATAATCACCAGTTACTACATCATGCACCAAAATTTCTGCAAGATCTTGTGATAAGGTCCCAAGGCGTTCACCAGGAATCATTATGTACACCAGTACTCCCTACATTCGGCAGAACCTCGTATGTGCACCAGGAGTCACCACGTGCACCAGAGCTCACAGCATGCACCAGGTCCTAATTCCTGCACCCCGAATCACCACGACAGTCAGTACTCTCAACGTGAAACAAATAGTCATCTGAATCAGGATTTGTGCACAAGGACTAACAACGTTCACCATTACGCTCTACATGCAAAAGAAATCATCACGTGCACCAGGTCTCACAAAGTGTACCAGGTCTCTCGACGCGCATCAGAACTCACAATATTCACCAGGAATTAGTAAGTGCTCAGGGATTCACAGCATGTACAAGGACTCACCTTTCACCACGTGAATGGGATTCATTATATCAATTAAGAGTTACCTCGTGAACCAGGATTCACTACGTGCACCATGATTCACCATTCACACTGTGCTCCATGATTCACATGTAACAGAAATCATTACATACAACAGGACTTACATGCTCCACTCACTACGTGCACCAAGGCCCCCGTGCACCACTTGCCACCTGCATCAGAGATCACCAAGTTTATTTCTATCCCCCTCGTTCACTAGGACTCAACAACAGCAACAGTACTAGTTACATGCCCCAGGAGTCACCAAGTGACCAGGAATCATCATGTGCTCCAGGATTCACCACATGCACGATAACTCAACAAGTGCACCAGAACTTTTCCACATAATGAGACTCACCACGTGCACCAAGACTCATCACGTGATCTCCAAGCTTTATCACGTGTTCCAGGACTCATGATGTGCTTCAGGACTCAAGTGATTCATGACTTATCACGTGCACCAGGACCTTTGTGCTTTAAGACTCATTAAGTGTATCTGGAGTCATCAAAAGGACTCACCACATGCTTTTTAAGACTCATCATGTGCTCTAAGACTCACAACATGCACCAAGACACATCACGTGCCCTCCAGGATTCATCACGTGTTCCAGGACTCATCATGTTCTCCTGAACTCACCACATGTACAAGGACTCATCACGTGCTAAGATTCATGACGTGATCTCCAAGTTTCATGATGTGTTCTCCAGGACTCATCACGTGTTCCAAGACACATGTGCATCAGGACTCACCACGTGCATCATGACTCACCATTCACCACATGCACCAACACGGACGCAGCGTCTGCGTACTGCGGGACGCACGTATAGTTTCCACCGTCAATCTTGCCTGCTTGTGTGAGGAACAACTTGGAGGTGGTCCTTGAGGGTGTCTTCTCTATCTCCACACTGACGCCGCCTCTGCCAGGGAGAGACCGTGAGATATAGTGAGAGAGTGTTATGCTGTGAGAGATAGCGAGGGTAGAGGCAATGAGAGAAGGAAATATTGTGAGAGGGGGAAGATAGTTCTCTATCTTCACACTGACGCTGACCCTATCGGGGTGAGACAGTGATATACCATAATAGAGATAGCAAGAGACTAAAATACTGTGGGAGAGGCTGATGGTTCTCGAGAATGTCTTTTATCTCCACATTGATGCCGTTCCTGCTAGGAAGAGACAATGAGATAGAGTGAGAGACTGTGATTGTGAGAGACTCAAAATGAGATATTATAATACTGACTGTGATAAAGGCATTCAAAGACTGTGAGAGATAGATACAGCAATAGACCATGAAAAACAATAACAGGCAGTGGAAGATAGTGAGAGAATTAGAGAGGGCATCGCTCTTAATTCCAAACTCTAATATTCTTACAGGAAAAGTCAATGAGTGACGAGACGGTGGATATTAGAATAAGAAAATGTAGGAAGTCGTTCACATCATCTGGTCAAATAAATAAGAAATGTTATCACCTAGAGAGCCTCTATCTAGACCAGGTTTTTCTCAGAGAGTCGGCCACTGCTCCCATCGGGGACTGTGAGTGGGTTTTCAAGGCAGAGTGAGGGGCCTTCCACGAGAAAATAGAATTATTTTATTCTCGTATCCTCGCGGTATCTGAAACGTAAGCATACCATAAGGATAAATAGAAAACTAAAATATTTTTGTGCGTAAATGTACACAATAAAAATGGGCATATTATATAATAAAAAGTATTTATATTATTATACAGATTTGCAGCAAAAATAACAGTAACGTTTATCTCTTATTCTGATTGCTGTGATAACATAAGTAAAAAAAATATTGCAGCCATATGAAGATGAATGAAATTTAATACAATATCGTAAATCTAGTTTTTTTCGTCAATGCCCATGCACTCAGCCCCAGACCCAGACTCGTGGAACTCTGTGTTCATTAAGAACTCCAAGAAACCCTCTCGCGGGCTCTAAGTATGTTATAGAGAAGGAGCATAGAAACAGGTGAGATTTCACAGTCACTAATAACAACGGATATAGCCCCATTTGATAAAGGTGGCAGCAAAGCAATACCTAAGAACTATAGACCAATAGCTTTAACGTCCCACATCACAAAAAATCTTTGAAGAATTCTAAGAAGCACGACTGCAAACCACTTGAACTCCCAACAGTTACACAGTCCAGGGCAACATGGGTTCAGAGCAGGTCACTCATGCCTCTTGCATCTACTGGACCACTATGATATGGTCTTGGAAGCACCGGAAAACAAACAGAATGCAGATGTAGTATACACAGATTTTGAAAAAGCCTTTGACAAGTGCGATTCAGATGTAATACCCACAAAATGAGTGCCAAAGGGATAACTGGCAAAATAGGCAGAAGAATCTTTAACTTTCTAACAATCGTACACAAAGAGTAGTGGTAAACAGAGTTAAATCAGAAGCTGCCACAGTGAAGAGATCTGTTTCACAAGGCACAGTACTCGCCCCTATCCTGTTCTTCATCCTCAGATCAGACATAGACAGGGATGTAAACCATAGCGCCGTATCATCCTTTGCAGACGATACTAGGGTCTTGGATCCTTTCCCACTACATTGTAAAATGCTCCAAACTTCAGAACACCCGTGACTTAACCTGATTCCTTCTTTTTCCTCCTCTCCCTCTTCCCTTTTCCTCTTTCCTTTTTCTCCTTTTGGTTGTTTTTCTTCTGCCTTGTGTATTTGTTCCTTCTTTATTTATTTATTTATTTATTTATTCCCCCCCCCTCTGTGTTTTTGCTCTTACCCCTCTGTGAGCACCTAGCTCCCTTGCAGTGCTCCTCTTTGTATTTGACTGGCTCCTCCTTCTTACTACCTCCCCCACTACTACTACTACCTTCTACCTCCACTATTACCACCTCCTACCTATATATACCCCTCACTCTCTCCTTTTCGTTAGTGTGACTTTGTAAGTAGTCCAAGTCGGACCGAAACGTCGTCGTAAGCTCCTCTCTTCTATGTGCGGGTTATTTGTGTATGATACTAGGATCTGCATGAGAGTGTCATCTATTGAGGACACGGCAAATCTCAATGAAGATATAAACCAAGTTTTCCAATGGGCAACGGAGAACAATATGATGTTCAATGAAGACAAATTCCAACTACTCCGTTATGGAAAACTAGAGTACATAATAGCTAAGACTGAGTATACTACAAACTCTAATCACACAATAGAGCGGAAAAGTAATGTGATGGACCTGGGATTGGTAATATTTGAAGATCTCACCTTCAAGGATCACAACAGTGCCCCTATCACATCTGCTAGGAAACTGATAAGATAAATAAAAAGAACTTTCAAAACAAGAGATGCCAATCTAATGATGATCCTTTTTATATCATCTGTTCTTTCTAGGTTGGAATTCTGCTGTACATTGACATCTCCATTCAAGACAGGTGAAATTACAGTGGTAGAGAATGTACAGAGAACCATTACTGCACATACAAGTTTCATCAAACAACTTAACTACAGGGAACGCTTGGAAGTGTTTGACTTGTACTCACTGGAGCGCAGGCGATGGAAGATTCTGGAGGTGCTGGTTCCTAATCTGCACAAAGAAATCACTCCCTATAAAAGCAAAAGACTTGGCAGGCGATGCAACATACCCCCAATGAAAAGTAGGGGCTCCATTATTACACTGAGAAAAAACACAGTAAGTGTCCGGGGACCAAGACTGTTCAACAGCCTCCTACCAGCCATAAGGGGAATTACCAATAGACTCTTCGTTGTCTTCAAGAGGGAGCTGGACAGATACCTAGAGTCAGTACCGGATCAGCCGGGCTGTGGTTCTTACGTTGGACTACACGCGGACAGTAGTAACATCCTCGTTGATCAGGCCCTGATCCACCGGGAGGCCTGGTCGTGGACCCGGCCGCGGGGGCATTGATCCCCGGAATACCCTCCAGGTAGACTTCAGGTGGGATCATAGCTATTCAGTTAGTGGACTGATTGGTCATCTGGTAAATTTGTCTCAAAAACAGTGATTTTGAGAGGTATTTCGATGACAGACGCTCAGTAGATTTCGAGAAGAAACATTAAGCTTGACAAACGTGTTCAGTGAGTAACGTCGATACTAACACTCTCCACGGGAAATGTTAATCTTGACTGTCTTTCTAGAAGAAAGACTTAAATATATTCACTTATCATGAGAAAGGCTGATGTTAACACAATCACTTTGTATGAAAAACATTGATTTTAACAGACTCTTGCATGAAAAATGCCGATCCTGACAGTCGCTTTCCACGAGAAACACCGATATTACCTGGACAAACAGTTTGTATGAGAAACACTAACTTTGTATGAGAAAAACTAACTTTGCATGAGAAACACTAACTTTGCATGAGAAAAGCTAACTTTGCATGAGAAACACTAACTTTGTATGAGAAACACTAACTTTGTATGAGAAACACTAACTTTGTATGAGAAACACTAACTTTGCATGAGAAACACTAACTTTGCATGAGAAAAACTAACTTTACATGAGAAACACTAACTTTGCATGAGAAATACTAACTTTGCATGAGAAATATCAACTTTGCATGAGCAACACTAACTTTGCATGAGAAACACAAAGTTTGTATGAGAAACACTAACCTTGCATGAGAAACGCTACTTTTTATGAAAAACACTGGTCTTGACACTCACTCTCCATGAGAAACTCTGATTATGACACACATACTGCATGAGAAACAAGACACTGACATTTTGCTAGAGAAACACTAATCTTACCTCTTTTTCATGAGAAAGACAACAGGAAAACAAACAGTAGGACTCTCTAAATACAAACAGTAATGCTCCTTTATGCATGAAATTAGCACAGAGCATCGTGCAGTCACAGACCGGGCCACAGACCGGGCCGCGGGGGCGTTGATCCCCGGAACTCTCTCCAGGTAAACTCCAGGTGTAAGCCGGGGATTTAGCCAAAGAATCCACATTTCATGCGTCAGGCAACTGGACCAGCCTTCCTTTTCCTTGGATCAAACTTGATTAATTCCCACCTCTACCGTTCCCTAGGTGTTCTGTGATCCTTCTAGGTTTAGAGAATTAACAATAACAAACGACAACAAAACAAATAAACAATACATAGAACAAAAGCAACATAACAAAACAGAAAGATCAATAAAAGAACAAAGCATAAACAAAAACAAGATAAGCAAATGTTAAAAACAAAACAACATAAGCAACAAAAGCAAGCAACATACCAAAAAAAAAAAATAAAAACAACCAAAACAGCAATACAGCAAGAAGACAAAAAAAAAAAAAAAAAAAACAGCAAAAAAAAAAAAATAAATAAATAAACAAATAAAACAAAACAAAAAAAATCAACAAAAACTACAACAAAATATCTACGTGGCAGAGCAAAAAACCCACAGGAGTCATTCAGAGCTCCGGGAACGAGAGGCAATCAAGTTCCATCTTAGGAATGGGACGACAGGTTCCTTATCAAGGTACCTTCTCTCAAGAGATAGTATAAATACTACAGGTACTATTACTACTTCTACTACTACTGCTACTACTACTACTACTACTACTACTAATAATAATAATAATAATAATAATAATAATAATAATAATAATAATAATAATAATTTTTATTATTAATATGAACTATTATAAAATTATCAATTCGCTTCATTTTAACTATACACAAAATATATTAGAAATGCTTCTATTACAAGACAATTTCATATTTCCTACTTGAAGGTATATTTAATTTCCCAAAATTGAATGTTATAAATAATTCTGGGAACTCATCTTGTATTTTTGACCAGCCAACATTAAAGAATTTTTGAGAGTTAGAATTCTCATACCATATATTAATTTCAAATGCTCATAAAATCACCTGAGAAATTTCGACTTGCAAGGAAGAATAAATTCAGGTCTTCTTAAAAGGGCTTCAAGTGATTTACTTTT